CCCCGACCACTTTATTTCGGCACCGCACCCCCTCCCCGCTCCGCCCCCTCCCCGCGCCGTCTCAGCCCCCCCCCGCGGCTCCAGCGCCCGCCCAGTGCCCCCTCCGCCCCGACCACTTTATTTCGGCACCGCACCCCCCCCCCGCTCCGCCCCCTCCCCCGCGCCGTCTCAGCGCCCCCGCGCGGCTCCAGCGCCCGCCCAGTGCCCCCTCCGCCCGACCACTTTATTTCGGCACCGCACCCCCCCCCCGCTCCGCCCCCTCCCCCGCGCCGTCTCAGCGCCCCCCCGCGGCTCCAGCGCCCGCCCAGCGCCCCCTCCGCCCCGACCACTTTATTTCGGCACCGCACCCCTCCCCCTCCGCCCCCTCCCCCGCGCCGTCTCAGCGCCCCCCCGCGGCTCTAGCGCCCGCCCAGTGCCCCCTCCGCCCCGACCACTTTCCTTCGGCACCGCACCCCCCCCCCGCTCCGCCCCCTCCCCCCGCCGTCTCAGCGCGCCCCCCCCGCGGCTCCAGCGCCCGCCCAGTGCCCCCTCCGCCCCGGCCATTTTATTTCGGCACCGCACCCCCCCTCCCCGCTCCGCCTCCTCCCCCGCGCCGTCTCAGCGCCCCCCCGCGGTTCCAGCGCCCGCCCAGTTTTCCCTCCGCCCCGACCACTTTATTGCGGTGCGCCCCCTCCGTCTCAGCGCCCTCCCGCGGCTCCAGCGCCCGCCCAGTGCCCCCTCCGCCCCGACCACTTATTTCGGCACCGCACCCCCCCCCCGCTCCGCCCCCTCCCCCGCGCCGTCTCAGCGCCCCCCCGCGGCTCCAGCGCCCGCCCAGTGTCCCCTCCGCCTCGACCACTTTATTTCGGCACCGCACCCCCCCCCGCTCCGCCCCCTCCCCCGCGCCGTCTCAGCGCCCCCCCGCGGCTCCAGCGCCCGCCCAGTGCCTCCTCCGCCCCGACCACTTTATTTCGGCACCGCACCCCCCCTCCCCGCTCCTCCCCCGCGCCGTCTCAGCGCCCCCCCGCGGCTCCAGCGCCCGCCCAGCGCCCCCTCCGCCTCGACCACTTTATTTCGGCACCGCACACCCCCCCGCTCCGCCCCCTCCCCCGCGCCGTCTCAGCGCCCCCCCGCGGCTCCAGCGCCCGCCCAGTGCCTCCTCCGCCCCGACCACTTTATTTCGGCACCGCACCCCCCCTCCCCGCTCCGCCCCCTCCCCCGCGCCGTCTCAGCGCACCCGCGCGGCTCCAGCGCCCGCCCAGTGCCCCCTCCGCCACGAACACTTTATTTCGGCACCGCACCCCCCCTCCCCGCTCCGCCCCCTCCCCCGCGCCGTCTCAGCGCCCCCGCGCGGCTCCAGCGCCCGCCCAGTGCCCCCTCCGCCCCGACCACTTTATTTTCCGGCACCGCACCACCCCCCCCCCCCCCACCGCTCCGCTCCCTCCCCCCGCGCCGTCTCAGCGCCCCCCGCGGCTTCAAGCGCCCCGCCCAGCGCCCCTTCAGCCCCCGACCACTTTATTTCGGCACCGCACCCCTCCCCCTCAGCCCCCCACCCGCGCCCGTATCACGCCACCCCGCGGCTCTAGCGCCCCCCCCCCCGCCAGTGCCCCTCCGCTCGACCACTTATTCGGCACCGCACCCCCCCCCCCCCGCCTCCGGCCCCCTCCCCCCCCCCTTTTCCCCCCCCGCCCGCGCAGTCTCAGCGCCCCCCCCCCCGGCTCCAGCGCACGCCCAGTGCCCCCTCCGCCCCGATCCACTTATTTCGGCACCGCCCCCCCCCCCCCCCCCCCCCGCTCCGCCCCCTCACCCGCGCCCGTCTAGCCCCCCCCCCCACGGCTCCAGCCAGCGCTCCGCCAGTGACCCACCCGCCCCGACCGCTTTATTTGGCACGGCACAACCCCCCCCCCCCCGCCCCTCCGCCCCCTCCCCGCGCGTCTCATTTGCCCCCCCGCGGCTCCAGCGCCCGCCAGCGCCCCCCTCCGCCCCGACCACTTATTTCGGCACCGCACCCCCTCCCCCGCGCCGTCTCAGCGCCCCCCCGCGGCTCCAGCGCCCGCCCAGCGCCCCCTCCGCCCCGACCACTTTATTTCGGCACCGCACCCCCTCCCCCGCTCCGCCCCCTCCCCCGCGCCGTCTCAGCGCCCTCCCGCGGCTCCAGCGCCCGCCCAGTGCCCCCTCCGCCCCGACCACTTTATTTCGGCACCGCACCCCCCCCCCCGCTCCGCCGCCTCCCCCGCGCCGTCTGAGCGCTCCCCCGCGGCTCGAGCGCCCGCCCAGTGCCCCCTCCGCCCTCCCTGCCCGTGCCCTCTTACCTCCCGCGCCGCCGCCGACGCCGTCGCCGCCGTCGCCGGCCCTCTCACCACCCCCGCTCAGCCCTGCCCCTTTCGCCCTCCCTACCCGCCCCCTCTCTCTTCCCGCGACGCCGCCGATGCCGTCGCCGCCGTCGCCACCGACGCCGCCGCCGTCGTCGCCGTCGTCGTCGCCGCCGCCGCCCCGGGCCGAAAGTCTGGTCTGTGGGGGAGGCCCCCATTCAAGTGGCGCATAGCCGGCCCCCGAGAATACGCCCGACAGACTCTGCGTGCAAAGCGACTGCCTTGGACAAGCGTTCGCAACACAAGGCCGCCGCGCACTTTGCACCGCGAGCCCCCAGCAGCTGAGTCCGCTCAGTAATTTCTTCCAGCCCTCCTTGGACCCTGGAGGCCTCCCCTTGGAACCCTCTGTAGGCTTCTCGGGCGTCAGTTGGAGGCTTCCTGGGAACCCGTCAAAGGTCTTTGAAGCCATCTTGCGGGGGACGGCCCTTGGAGTCTCCTCGCGCTCGCCCTCTGGAGCCCCTCTTGCGGCCCTGTTTTGTTCACTCCTTCTGCGATGTCTGGCATCCTCTCCCCCCCCCCTCCTCCTCCACATCCTCCTCCTCCCCCTTCCTTTTTGTGCAAGAGCCATGGCACACGTGCCACTTGTTTAGGGGGGGTTTTCGCCGAACGATATTATTAGCACCGCGCAAATGGAAGGAAAATAAATAATTCCAGCGCCCCGCCTCGGGTGGCATCCCAATTAGAATTGGGAGGAGGGAGGAGGGAGGGGGAGGAGGAGGGAGGTGTTTTCGTTGTCAACCGTGGGAAGCGATTAAGAAGCCCCTCCCCTGCGACACCCGTGGGACCTGTGGGACCTCACACGGGAACCACTTTGAAACTTGTGGGACCTGCGAGACCTGCGGGACTCCGTGGGACCCGTGCGATCTGGTGTACCCCCTCCTGGTGCCAGGATAACGCTTCCGGGTGCCGGGTGCGTTATCCTTTCACCGGAGAGGGGGGGGGTCCTTAATCGCTTACTCGGGTTAACCGATTTCCACAAGCTTGCGACCAGCTCCTCCGTCGATGAACGACCAGATTTTCCCGCACAGTCGCGCAATCGCACTGACATGCAACGTGAAGATCCAACGCAATACCCGTAATCGCTAGGGGCTTTCGTGTCCGCATCTGCGTTCAGTCGTAGCCAGGGCTCGGGCAGTAAGGCCGACATGCCAATTTCGCCAAACTGATGGCGGCTCGCACGAAACTTCACAGGTGTTGCACGCCACAGACTCGAAGGCTAGACACGCCAACAAAAAAGGTGGGCCTCCTTGAAAAGACAGCTGCACTCACCATCTTCCTCAAATCCTCCTCAACCTCGTCATCATCAGCATCACCGTCACAATCACAATTACCGCCACCACCTTCACCACTACCATTTTCACCACCACTACCATCACTCATAACCATCAACTTTCTCCTCATTACCATCGTCGTGGGTATCACCACCACCAGCATCAGAAGCACAACCACCACCACCACCATCAACATCACAACCACAACCACCACCGCAGCCACCATCATCATCGCCATCATCACCATCCTAATCCTTATCACCAGACCCATCCTCATCAACATCACCGACATCATCACCAGCATCATCATCATCATCGTCATCGCAATCGTCATCGTCATCGTCGTCATCATCGCCATCACCGTTAGCAACATCATCATCATCATGGTCGGCATCATCATCGTCACCAACCGCATCATCAACAACACCATCACCTCCCCCATCATCCTCATCATTATGGCCTTCATCATCAACATCACCAGTCGTTTGCCAATTGTTTGTTGATGCGGGATTTTGATGGCCCATGTGATAGGCAAGTTGTGATCGTGTTCATCTCGCGATAGTGCTCAATCATCTTCTTCCTGTAGTAGTCTCTTGGTCAGGTTCAACTTATGCAAGGGTGATGTACTCCTGATCGCCATGACAAAATGACAGTATAAATGTCGTCTAAATGGTGGTTGGCAATATGGATAAGAGAGGGCCCCGCCGGCCAGGGGAGGGCGCCCAGGAGGGCGCACGCGCGCGACGGGCGGGGCGCTGCTTTATCCTCGAGCCAACACACAGCTTCGGTCACATAGCTGTGCGCTGGAAATGGGCGCGGGGGATGACTACATCATCATCATCATCATCATCATCATCATCATCATCATCATCATCATCATGATCATCATCATCATCAGCATCATCATCAGCATCATCATCATCAGCATCATCATCATCATCATCATCATCATCATCATCATCATCATCATCATCATCATCATCATCATCATCATCATCATCATCATCATCACCATCGTCATTGTTGTCGTCGCCCGCCCCCTGAACACCGTGAAGGAGAAGAGGAGAAAAAGAAGAAGAGAGAAAGCCAGATGGGGACAGAGGGGAAGAGATGAGGAGAAGGGCAGAGAAGTGAGGAGGAGGGGGAGGGAGGGAGGAGGGAGAAGGTAGAGGACGGATGGAGGGACGGAGGAGGGAGGGATGAGGACGAGGACGAGGACGAGGACGAGGATGAGGACGAGACGAGGAGGAGGAGGAGGAGGAGGAGGAGGAGGGAGGTGGAGGAGGGGGGGCGGAGGTGGAAGGAGGAGGGAGGAAGAAGTGGAAGAGGAGGGAGATGGCAGGCAGGGGGGACTCCCACGCCCGCCCCCTTGGGGAACCTGAAGGTGCAAGGACAGCTGGCTGAAGCCGAGCGGCGCCTCGCGGGCCAGCGCGGGCAGCACGCGCACGGCGCCGCCGTAGGCCACCTGGCCCCCGCGGCCGTGCGCCACCCGCCGCCGCCGCGGTCGTGGCGGCGGTCGTGGTCGCCCCCGACAATCTCAAGGGGTATGGATTTGTCCCAACTGTCCTCGTCTGGAAGAGACAGCGCTCCGCGTTGCTTCCTTCCTCCTCCTCCTCCTCCTCCTCCTCCTCCTCCTCCTCCTCCTCCCCTCCTCCTCCTCCTCCTCCTCCCCTCCCCCTCCCCCCTCCCCTCCCCCTCCCCCTCCTCCTCCCCTCCTCCTCCTCCTCCTCCTCCTCCTTCCTCCTCCTCCTCCTCCCTCCTCCTCCTCCTCCTCCTCCTCCTCCTCCTCCTCTCCTCCTCCTCCCTCCTCCTCCTCCTCCTCCTCCTCCTCCTCCTCCTCCTCCTCTCCTCCTCCTCCTCCTCCCCTCCTCCCTCCTCCCCCTCCTCCCTCCTCCCCCGGCAATCTCAGAGGATATGTTTTTTTTTTCGCGGGGCCCAGACTTCGAGGCTTCCGTGCGTCCCCGTCGGATCCCGTCGGCGACGCCGACCCGCAGCCGCTGCCAGGGGGCGGTTCCTCAGCCCGGCCGCGCCCGCGCACCCGCCGCCAGCCTCGCTGCGCGAGTGTGCCCCCCGCGCCTCGTGCCCTCCTCTCTGCGGCCGCCCTCCCTCCTTGCGCCTCCTCCTTCGGCTACACGCAAGAGTGACCCTGGGTAAGGGTGACCCCTGGTGCGCGGCACTAGGGGGGCGCGGGGGGGCCAAACCCAAGCGCGCAAGCCGCTGACATCGCAGCGCGTTCGGCGATCGGAGGACCCATTTGGGCCCGCACCGAAGGCCACTCTGGCGACAGGTCACCCTTACGTCTAGCCGACTCCTGCGCGCGTGCCAACGTTTCGCGATGCTGTGCCCTGGTCTCGCCCCGACGCGCGTGCGCATCGCCCCCATGCCGCGCTGCGACGCAAAACAAAAAGCGCCCCCGTCGGCTGCTGCAGGCCTCCCGGCCTCGGCAGGGTCTTTCCGCGGCCGCGCGCCTCGCCGAGGGCGCTCTCTGGGGGTGCCTGGCTCGTCCCGAGCACGGCCGCTGGAGCACGGCCGCTGGAGGCACGATCTCCGACGACTTGTCTTCGGCCTCTCTGGGGCAGGAAGGCCCAAGATCGAATCGAGACGTCGGGTCGGCGGTCGAAATGAATGGGATCGGCGGAAGTCGGCAGCCGAGTCGGGAAAAATCGAATCGGCGGAGATCGGCAGGCTCGTATGCCCCCAATGAAAAATCGGAAGCCAAATCGGAATCCCAAGTCGAATCGAATCGGAATCGGAATCCATCGACATCGAATCGAATCGAATCGAATCGGGTGAATCGAAATGGGCCCTGCACTGGGGCACGTTCTCGGGCCCAAGAGGCCATCAACATCGGGTCCAGGGCGAGAAACTGGCCCCAGGGAAGGGGTCGGGACCTCTGGGGCCGAGCCTTGGAAAAATCAGTTTGTCGGATGTCGGAGGCTACTGCAATCAAAATTCATAGCAAGGATGCGCGATGAGGACGCAAGGGCCTTGGAAGGTCATGCCGAGGCTCTTCGAGCGGGGCTGGCCATCGAAAGTTGTTGAGGATGGACCGAAGATGGCCGAAGAGGCAGGGATGCAAGGGTAACCTTGGGAAGTCGATCATCCTGACTATCAGTGTCAAGTGTAGACGTGCCTATCGTCGCTGCCACCGTCGTCGTGGTGGTGGTGGCCGTCGTCGTGCTCGTGGTGGTCGGTGGTCGGTGGTCGTCGGCGAGGGGGGAGGACGGGGGAGGGAGCGGGGGGGCTCTTTCTTTTCCTCCGTTTCCTGTTCCGTCGCCTCATTCCTCTCCGCTCTCCCCTCACCTCGCGCATCATCCTGTTCGTCCCCCATCTCTTCCCCTGGCTCCTCCTCCTCCTCCTTCTCCTCCTCCTCCTCCTCCTCCTTGTCCTCCTGATCATCACCGCCACCACCACCACCATCATCAGCATCGAAATCTTCATCCTCAACATCATCATCACCATTACCATTACCATCACCATCACCATGACCATCCTCAGCATCAGCATCAGCATCAGCATCAGCATCAGCATCAGCATCAGCATCAGCATCAGAATCATCATCATCATCATCATCATCATCATCATCATCATCATCATCATCATCATCAGCATAATCATCATACTTGTCACCAGCGTCATCATCAGTATCATCAGCATCATCATCCTCATCGTCATTCCCATCCTCATCCGCATCCCCATCAACATAATCGTCCTCTTTGTCGCTATCATCCTACATCTTCTCCTCAGGAAGAGGAGGGGGTGGTATGAGGTAGAGGTGGAGGGGGAGATGAAGGGAGGGGGTGCGGTGGGAGAGGGAGGGAGGGCAAGCTAGGTGTGTTCGCGTCATGTCCGATACCCTACCCATCCCTCGCATCTGAATACACTGCGCTGGTTTGCTCTCTATCCGCTGACGATTGTCACAATGGCCCTGGAACTCCAGAAAAGACCCCACCGTGTTATGCACAATCGGACAAGGGAACCTGCGTACATTGGAGGAGGTGGAGGTGGCAAGGGAGCAGAAGGAAAGGGAAGAGGATGAGGAAGGAGGAGGATGAGGAGGAGGAGGAAGGGGAGAAGGACGAACAGCAGCCGCGGCAGCTGAGGTGGAAGAAGCGGGAGGAGCACGATGACCAGGAGAAGATGGCGGAGCTGAGCAGGAGGATAAGAACGAGGATGGGAAATGAGGAGAAGGAAAACGAGCATGAACAGAAGCAGCGGGACTGAAGTGTAAAGAGCGGGAGGAGCGGGAAGACCAGGGGAACACGGAGGAGGGGAAAGGAGGGGGGCGACAACGATGAAGGACTCGGATCCTGAAAGTGTCATTCGGAAGGGATACTGCGACGATCCGAAAATGAGGCTCACGCTGCAGCGTGGGCACCAATATGAAACACTGGGCAAATCGGAGCGCAAGCTGTCACGGGCACCCGAACATCTACGTATCTTAGATGTGATGCAGAAATCAATGCGCGGAGATGGCGGGGCAGCCTCCGAACAGAGTCAGGGGAGAGAGGTTAGTAAAATTCACAGGAATATAAGTGTCAAGGACGAATGGAATGGGGAGAGGGCTGGAGAGAGTGGGGAAGAGATAATGGGGGGATTAGGCGTGGGGCGATAAGGTGGGGGGGACAGGGGATGGCCTGGAGGCCCAACAACTTCAAATACATCTATATATGTACATCTTTATATATATGTAGTCACGTCGTCTATTTCTAATCGTGCTCATTTCTAATTGTGCTTGTTTCTAATTGTTCCTGGCCCCCTAGTGGCCAGGAAGAGGCCCAAGATAGAACAATTAGGAATGATAGGGTCTTAGCACCCACAAAAGAAAAACAATGAACTTTCGAATAGTTGAAAATGAACCGGGTGTGTGTGTATATATATATATATCCACAGCAGTGGAACAGCACGTGCCAGGTTGAGAAAAACATGTTCCATAATAGAAGACGAATACCACTTAGGGAGGTGCTTGGGATTCTTGTGGCGCGGGGACCAGGGCAGGGAAGAGGAAGCGCAACAGAAGGGAAGGGGAAATGGCGATGGATGATGGGCACGTCGGCCACGACGACAGCAACAAAAACGAAAACGACGCTGAGGATGACGGGCTTCAATTACTCATGACTTTTCTTGACTAATAACTCCTTCCTCTCGCGCCAACGAATGTGTCCATCGGCCAGGCTGGACGTATTGTTTGAGACTTTCCTACGCATCCTTACCCAGAAGGTAAACATATTGAACAACCATGATGGTGGGTTGGTCTTTTTGACAAGGCGACTCTCGCCTTAGCTCCGCGCACGATCGTTTTGACAGGTTCTTACGGCCACACTGATGGATGATGGATGCCAGTTCGTTTTCAAAACGTGGATATCGCGTCAGACTTCAAATCCTGTGACGCGAAATGCAAGTGGTGTAACTTTTACACGGATGGAGGGTCGGTCCTTTCCAAAATGGGCCTCTCGCTTGACGTCCCCGAGCTCTGCGACCATGACTGTGCACCTGTGCAACGCTTACACTACTGGAAAGAATATCCTCTTCAAAACGGGGCTATCGCTTGACACTTCCGTGAACTTTGCCATCCTACCTTTAGGTCGGGCATGTCCCCCTACAGGCAGATGTTGCACGAATAATCCGAACGACTCCAAACAATCATCAAACATACCCCAAACATGCTAGACAAATCGTCTCCAAACTTTTTGACATTTTTTGATATTCCCCCTGTATGAAGGGGCCCTGGGACACAGACATACATACAAACAAATAAAAGGATTCACCATCTTTTCCCACATTCCCTACCTAGGCTCTGCCTAGAGGGGTTCTTACTCTCTGGGCTTAAAGGGGCCGGGCAGTGGAAAGCGCCCCGGGCGGTTCCCCCAGTATCCGCCCCGCGGTTACCCCAGTTACGTCCCCTTAGCTTAGCGTTGCTTATCTCATCTTAGCTTAGCTTATTTCATCTTAGCTTAGCTTAGCTTCATCTGAACTCAGGTTTATCTTAGCTTAGCTTACCTTCATCCTAGCTTCGCTGAGCTTTAGCATAGCAGAGCACAGCATAGCATAGCGTAGCATAGCATAGCGCAGCATAGCATATCATAGCATAGCCCAGCATAGCATAGCATAGCACAGCGCAGCGCAGAATAGCATAACATAGCATAGCATAGCATAGCGCAGCACAGCACAGCATAGCACAGCGCAGCTTAGCATAGCATAGCATAGCATAGCACAGCTTAGCATAGCACAGCGCAGCATGACATGGCATAGCTTAGCACAGCATAGCGCAGCATAGCACTGCATGTCATAGCATAGCGCAGCATAGCATAGCATAGCAACTAATGCTGCTTTCCTAGGGGCTCCAACTTCTAGGTAGGGTCGCACTGGGGTAATTTTCTAAGTTTTTGTCTTCCCCCCCACTTCCCATACTTCCCCATATTTTCTGGGGAATCGACGATTACTTGTGTCTGTGTGTTTGTTTCC